GTTTGCGTTATATAATAAGTACCTGGATGACCTGGTATTTTTTTTTCGGTAAATTTTCTAAAATGAAACCTAGGTAGATCGATTAATCGCCCCCGATCGCCCCCTGCATACTAAATTTCATGAAAATCGTTGGAGCCGTTTCTGAGATTCAGATTACATTTATATAGTGGTTTAGGCATTTGACTTGCGATCAAGATTTGTGGGTTCAAATCCTGACCATTACACTACCGACGTGAACCCACTGCTAACACAAGCAATTTAGCTTAGCGGGAGGGGTTAACGGGAATACTAGATAGTAATTTCGGTTGCTAGTAGACCTTTTAAAAAAAAAACAAAAAAAAAATTGCTCGTTTAAAGTTATTAGATAAAAGATCATGCGTATACGCATCATAAGTAACAGATAGATTCTATAAAAGGTCATTAATCTAACTGAAAGGATATTTAAGATTGCGCGGTGCAAGTATTATAGTTATAATTAAATGGCTTCGTAGCTAATACACGGCCCAGGAGACCCGGTGCCACGGTCGTGTGTTCTATTCTAGTGGGGAATTAACGGCAAATTGGTACTAGTTAGCTGAGTAGATCTGTGGTCTAAGTTAAAATTGAAAGCGGTGTGAGATTAATTATCCATGAGTTCATTCTTATATTATTAATTTTATATTCACGCCAAGCCAGTGTCGTACCACTGACACGCTATTGAGATGCCATCGAGTGGCCATTGGCATCGGTATAAATATCGGTAGTCTACACTAACTCAGTGTCTTTACAGTGGCAATGGAATGGCAGTGGCTCATCAGTGGTGATATCAAAAAGATTGCCATATTTGAAAAAATAAATAAATCATTTCCTTATAATTTGAAAAGATATTACGTTTTTTTACGATCATATACGAAACTCGCTGTCTTACTAAAATGAAAGGAAAAAATAGTACCCACAATAAATCTTTTGTATCCTGAATATTTATATATACATTTTTTTAAACATGGAAAACTTACAGCTAAAATACATGGTAGTATTAGAAACCGCCTGACTTTATAATTTTAATCGTTTGAAAGCCTTTTTCTACTTCAATGACCAAAATTACTTGAACGTCTATTAATTGGGGACTTCAGTACCATGACATGTCAAAAGATATATGTAGCTATTTTGACATCATTTCTTAACTTTAAAGCATATATGTTTTAATTTTTTTTAATATTTGAAGAGAAAAATATATAATATTCAATACTCGAATACTAAAAGTAAAAAAAAAATCGAAGCAAATTCCCAATTTCACATAAGTACATATCTTTGCACGTTTGCTTAAAAAGTGTGAATAAAGAAAACACATATATATGAATACAACATATGTTACGCACACACTGTTTTAGGAAAACCTTAATCCTGCTAAGTTTTTATTTCTTCAAAAATATACGACCGATACGACCTTCAAAACTTCAAGAAAAGAGCGTACTCCTTCCTGAAGGCCGGCGAGCGCTTGTGACTCCTGAGTTGCAGGCGTTACTTTCCATCAGGTGAGCTGTCTGCTCCGGCCTCCCCTTCCCTTCTATAGAAAAAAAAACCTAATGAGTTAGTAACTAGCGGTTAATCAATTCCTTACTCATCCCACGGGAAAACTACATTTTTCAGGAAAAAAAAGTAACCTCAAATAGGTTACTTTTAATCCGGGGTGCCAGCTTACCAAATTTTACCGATATTGTTCCAGCCGTTTGAGTATGAAGAAGCAACAAACATAAACACACTCACAAACTTTCGTCTCTATAATATTAGCGTAGTAGATGTACGTCATACGCATACGTACATTCCACACATCACACACACACACACACACACTGCTCAGATTTTAAGTACAAAGTTTACGTGTCTGACTTTTAATCCCTTAGTCATTTTTTAGTAGCTCATTACTTGGACCACACGCTCTAAGGATCGGGTAGTACGAGATCATTATCTTGGCTGAATAGAAAAACTAAGTGGTTTAGCAAAGACAAATTGAATGTTTGAAGTTATATTCAATGATTACAACGACGTTGTGCCAAACAAGAAATGCTCAGTACGATAAAATTGTAAGCATCGATTAAAATAAAAATCTTAACGTTAAATAACTACTTTAAAATAATTGCTACATTTAATTATTTTTTTATAAAAACGTGATATTCAAAAAAAGGCTACTCAAACTGTAAATTAAGAAATCTGGTGAATTCTGAAATCCTAATTAAAATTGTCTTTTTTTTTCTAAATCTCTAAGGGGGCAAACGAGCAGACGGGTCACCTGATGGTAAGCAACAACCGCCACCCATGGACACCTGCAACTCAATAGTCACAGGTGCGTTGCTGAAATTCACGTGATAATGCGTTACGTGTACATACACGTAACGCATTATCACGTGAATATTACAATACAAATATTACAGTATTTAAAAATATCAACAAAAGCATTCATACACAAATATACATCTGTTTACATTTACACTTAGATAAACACACGAATGTGTGTGTACACTAATACAAAAACATAATATACATATATATATATATATACATACACACAACATGTATAAACATACATGAATATACTTATGTTAGCTGAGTCTGACAGTGACACCTCACAACCGACCGGCCGCCTATAAAAGCAAGACGCAGACCGAAGACAGCCCTTTTCTGCTCGTTGGCGCTCGACGCGGACGGATCTCTCGGACTTAGTATTGGTGGACACCTGAGCCATTTTAGTGTATCGTGTGTGTGATATGGTGACGTAGTTAGTTAAAGATCTCTTGTATTTCTGTGCAGTCGATTTGTTTCGTTTTTGGGTTATTTTTAGGTTGATTATTGTAAAAAGTAAATTAAGTTAAAGATTCCTACTTGTCTTATTTTTTTTATCTTTAATCCGCTTCTGTTTCCCAGATCAGAAGTGGGATAAAGAGCCAATACAAACCCACGACAAATTCACCAAAGAGAAACAAATCTACCCACATTCGCGATAATTTTCGTAAGTCACAATTTTGGTTATTTACGGCTGTGTGGTATCACGTAAGTACTTTTAATTTGTTATTTTAAAAATGCCACGATCAATAATGCGTGGTCGGTCACCACATCGCTCTAGAAGTGGCTCACGTGTCCGGAGGCGACACCGCTCGCGCAGTTTGTCACGTAAAAGTTCTCGAGGCAGTATGCGTCGTAGCAGACTGCGGTCTCAATCGCGAAGTTCATCCCGTTGTCGGGCGTCACGATGCAATCGTAGGGACGGGGCTCGGACACGCGATAGGTTTAGGTCCAGGTCGCGCTCGAGCTCGCACTCATTGAGTGATAGCCACCCTCGCCACCGACGCCCGAGTTCCCGCACGTCGCCAGGCGACCGTAGGTGTAAGGAAGTAGGTCGCCGTGATAGCTCGAGTAATTTACCACGTTACCAAAAGTGTCATCACGGTTACGATCGGTCACCAGTTCCCCAACTACCCGCGACAGACCGCGTTGTTAAAAACCCTTTCGAAAAATCACGTACACCCCCGCTTCCATCTAGACCCCACGTAGAAGCTCAAGGAGTTACTAGAAATTCCGTCGAGTCCATTCAGCGCTCTGAAGCATCCACCTTTGCACAAGCTCTTATTGAAGCTATTAACACCTCGCGATCTAAGACGTCCCACAACTATTTCGTATCCAACTTTGATCCGGCGATACACAACATTGAAACGTGGTGTGAGGAGGTAGAACGGGCTCGACACGCAAATAATTGGAGTGATCACGAATGTTTGTCTCGCGTTGCTTCTTGACTCAAGGGTGACGCTAAGGTTTGGCTAGCCGAGTGGGTGACTAACGACCGCACCTGGTCTAACTTTAGGCAAGAATTTACGCCCCTTTGCCCCAGTAGACTAGACTTCGCCAATATCCTCTTTGAGGCTATGAAAACCACCTCTGATAAGTATACAACGTATGCCGAGTACGCACGTCGCACCTTGCTACGGCTTAGGATAGTTCCAGGTTTGAGCGAGGATTTGAGAACGCTTATTGTGATACGCGGCATTGACGATGCCCAGGTGCGGGCCGCTGCTGCCAACGCACAACTAACATCTGATAAAATTGTGTCGTTTTTATCGATATACTCGAAACCTGTTAAATCCAATAACGATAAGTGTTCCCAAATCAAACCTCAAAAACGTTTTCATCAAGGGAGGTCGGTTAATAACGGTGACAAAGCTTGTTACACGTGCGGACAAAAGGGTCATATTAGATCTAATTGCCCTAAGAAATCAAAAACTGCTCAATCGTCTTTAGAGCCTTTGGCTTCTTCAAAGCAACCATAAAGGCTCGTCTTGGTCAGAAGTTTTGTGGAAGCTTCAGTTGGTTCTAAACATAACCAAACAAAAGTCGACATGTACATCGCCTCTCAACCTTCTGGTCGGTACAGACGCTACGACACCAGTCATTCGAGCAGTTGTGCGTGATATAGCTGCCGATAACTCGAAACCTAACCGTGAAGCCCTGCGCGAGATCACCAGAAGCAGAGCTAGCGAGAGCTTAAGAAAAAACCAGTCCCGACAAGATGAGCAAGTAAACCGAAACAGACGGACTCCCCGTGAATTCGCCCTTGGCGATTTGGTCTTCGTTATAAAGTTCTCTCAGTCCACAGGAAAGTTAGGTCCGGGAATGCGCGGCCCCTACAAAGTGGTCAGCATACTACCGGGTGGTCGCTACGAGCTAACGCTGTTAAGCGGGAGCTATGGCAAGAAAACGCAGGCCGCGGCGCAATACATGGTGCCTTGGCGAGGGGAGTGGTGTCCGGAGACGTGTGCTGCGTTCTTCGAGAGCGAGTATTCGTTTGTCCTTGCTCTGATCCTTAAATGTCGCTAACATTCACGTCGGCGACTATTCTCGTGCTTAATGGTTAACACTTAGGCTGCCATTCCTAACCCGTTTGCAATAAAATTACGTCTTACTCACCACACTTTAGAGCTAGGTACACTAAGTCATCTTAATTTCGTTATAACACTGGGGTTAGCTAGCGAATGGCCGACGGCGGGTTTGTGAGTGGCATGGAGATAGGAGTGGACGAGCGGTACTGGGTAGCGCGTGTTAAACGTGAGCGGTCTCGCTTCGGCGACCGGCAGACGTATCATTCGATGCGTATTGGTCTCGCTTCGGCGACCGGCAGACGTATCATTCGATGCGTATTGGTCTCGCTTCGGCGACCGGCAGACTCACCATGTGTGTAACACTAGTGGGTAGACGATTCGATCGTCTTCAGGAGGGCGTATAGTGCGTCAGCCTGGAACCAGTATGGACTGGTTAGGGACGTATGTGCCGTGTGGGTTTGCCACGTCGTCGGTCGGCCCCGGCAAGAAAGACAGCTTGCAGGCGAGGTGCAATCGCTGACACCACGCCGTGGATAATAAGTGTAAAAGGGCCCTATTTTAATATTTTTGGGATATCCCTGAGGTAAATTTTGTGAGATCGAGCGTGAATGTTTACTGTGTGCTGAATGAATTAAGTGACAGAGCTATTATGAAAGGAGAATGCTTGCCTAGGTAGCATGACATACGAATGGTGATGCCTATTCCTAATGTGTTTTATACGATGTTTTCAGACTATGAATCCGAGGAATCACAGCCCATCCTCGCAGCACAAGGACCAGACCTCTACATGCCTCTGCTAGACGATGACTCTGGAGCCGGTCCCTCAACAAGTGGCGCCGCCAGTTCCAGCGGTGCCGCACCAGGTTCGCGGGTCGAGGACAACCGCCTGTCAGGAGAGGCCGTGTTAGCTGAGTCTGACAGTGACACCTCACAACCGACCGGCCGCCTATAAAAGCAAGACGCAGACCGAAGACAGCCCTTTTCTGCTCGTTGGCGCTCGACGCGGACGGATCTCTCGGACTTAGTATTGGTGGACACCTGAGCCATTTTAGTGTATCGTGTGTGTGATATGGTGACGTAGTTAGTTAAAGATCTCTTGTATTTCTGTGCAGTCGATTTGTTTCGTTTTTGGGTTATTTTTAGGTTGATTATTGTAAAAAGTAAATTAAGTTAAAGATTCCTACTTGTCTTATTTTTTTTATCTTTAATCCGCTTCTGTTCCCCAGACTTAATTCTTAGAGGCAGTTTAATAAAGAAGGACGTCCCTATAGAAGGATATATAAAGATTTTAAACGAATGATTTTAAACCACTTCTAAACCATGAGAACAGAATATTCAATGATAAAAAATATTTAATTTCATCTCTCGGAGCTCGCGCCGTCTTTACAATACTTGTATTCATTGTCATAATTTTTCCTTCATAGCTTTCTCCGCTACGGATGAAATGTTCTTTATTTTATTTTCAACTCTCAGTACGATTTCCATTCATTATCAATTTAAATTTCCATTTAATATCAAAATTATAAAGAATAAATAGATTTTCTTTTTACAACATGGATTGTATTTGTGACTCTACAACAATCAGAAATGTCACTATTTAAGCTTACTTGTTTAAGATTTAATTTTATTATTTAGACTTTTGATTTATTTAGAAGCGCCAGTTGGGTTAATGGATTATCAGTGTTTTTTCGGGGTATGGACTTGTGATACGGAGAGGTGAGCAAAGTGATGAAAAAATGTATATATATATAAAATTTGGAAGATACTAAAATAGACGACGAGCAAAGAAGAGACGGATGAACTGCGTAAAAGAGGATATGGAGAAGAAGACAAGTCATTACGCTGACCCCAAATACATTTACTGTAACATGATATTAAGACTTTTAATTTGTTTAAACCCAAAAGAAATGTAATTAAAACTTAACTAAAAATTAAATGTAAAAAGAAGTGCCAACTCTAAATTAAAACATTTATAAAATTAAAGTATGAAAACAGCTCAAAAAAGGGCTCTAACATACTTGTTTATATGTAAGAGGGGGCAGACGAGCAGACGGGTCACCTGATGGAAAGTGACCATCGCCGCCCGTTGCCGGCCTTTTAGGAAGGAGTACGCTCTTTTCTTGAAGGTTTGAAGGTCGTATCGGTCCAGAAATACCGCAGACGATAACCCGTTCCACATATTGGATGTGCGGGGCAAAAAGTGTTTCAAAAAGCGCGCAGCACTGGAGCGCCAACTATCCAGGTAATAGGGATGAAAATGTTGTCTTTGTAGAGGAGAACAAGTTCAAGCATTTATAGTAGACTTGCAACGAATATTCGGTTACTATTCGGTATTCGGCCTATTCGGCTGCTTTTATTATATTCGGCCGAATACCGAATATCTACATATTATTCGGCCGAATACCGAATACTTAAATAATATATTTTTTCATTGAGAAATAATTGGTAAAATGAAAAATTAAAATCGATTGATTACGTATATATTCATATTTTCATTTCTGTTATAATCATTTAAGTAGTCATTGGTGCATAACACAGGTACATAATCATCTTCTGAATTGGAAAAATGGAGGATTCTATGTATTTGAATTATTGTGGTAATCAAAATTTAGAAGGGTAAGGTTCTCATTTCTTTTATAATCATTTATTAAGTAGTCATTGGTACATAAAACAGGTACATAATTTAATTCACGTCTGTACAAGTTTTTGGCGCTAAAATCCAGCCGAATACTTTTGCCTAATATTCGGCTATTCGGTCAGGGGCCTCGCCGAATATTCGGTATTCGGTATACTGCCGAATATACTATTCGTTGCAAGTCTAATTTATAGTTTAAAATATGCAACTTGGAGTACCACAGAGTAAAACCACTGGCCAAAATAATACAATCGCTTTGTTGAAACGAAAATTAAAGAAAAACCTTACAGTAGTCTGTGAAACCCTTCAGATATTTTAAAAAGTGAAAAAAGTTTTTACCTTTTAAAAGTTGGAGTAACTTTGGTAGATGTTATACGTTTTTATAGATTTTTCCTCAAACCACAATTATTTCAAAAGAAATCTTTTGCTATTACAAAAATGTATAGAAATTCTACTTGGAATAAAGATTGAATTATTATGAAACTGCTGAGAAACAAATAGTCATGCTGTATAAAAATAATCTTCTTCAACCACATTGACACAACGCCATCTAGTCCCGAACAAAGCAGAGCTTATACTATGGGTACTAGACAAAATTAAACATTAAATGTTCATGCACACAAATGTTTGACTTAAGCGGGAATCAAACCCGCCGCCTTTGGAATTGCAATCGGTTACACTAACCACTACGCCATCCGGTCATCATATAGTGCTTAAGAGTATTTCTATGTATAGGCTATAAGTGTGGCGACTCCCACATACAAAGAAATAGAAACATACTACAGCGCCATCTAACGAAGACACACCGAACTACGTAGTAAGTACTGAATGAGAATTGCTAATCCTGTATCGCGAAATGAAGAATTCTCTCGCCGATTAGCATATATACAACTGCTCAACATCAACCGTTGGGCCGCGGCCCGCCAGGCATGATCACCTAGCCTGATCGGAGGATCCTCCCTTTTGTGTTGGAGGGACATGATACCCGTTCCTCCACAATAAGTATGGAACATATTACTTTTTTAAATTGAAGATGAGAAATTAAAAAGTTATCTAAAACCTCATATTAATGAACTGACAACTACAATACATCGTTCAGACTCAAGCTGAATAAAGCTCTTAAAACTTTCACTGGTATATCGGTTCTATAACAATCACTTTATAACGGGCAGCACTAATGAAACCCTATCGCTATACGATAAATCGAATAAACATCGATAAGTAGTTTCATTGTTTGTGAAGAATAGGGCTGGGCTTCATAAGTGTAGTTTTTGTTGAAATATCGATATATGCATATTACCATAGTAAAGTCGAGGACTTTTTTTTATTTCAAGACTCTAGACAAGGCTTTGCCACCCTTTGAGTAGAAAAGAGAAAATAGCCGCAAAGTGACCCACAGTTATCAAAGTTGTCGACACAGTCATATTAATTTCCATGCTTATATTTTAAATGTGTAGATGAGTTTGTATTGTTTTTTTTTTGTTTGTTTGGTTGTTTGTTACGCTTTCACACGAAAACCACTAGACCGATTTCAAAAATTGTTTCACCAGTGAAAAGCTGCAGTATCAGCGAGTTACTGCGAGCCGCGGGCAAAACGCTAGTACCTTAGAAGAAGATACACGTACTCATAAATTCCCTAGGTGAATAGGTAGGCAAAGGCATATGAAACACTTTGTTTTGGAGAGGTTAAATTGGTGGTTGACAAAAAACGAAATGTCAGAACGAAACCCTTATTGCTTTTCGTTCTGACATTTCGTTTTTTGCATGAAGAATATATTGCTTATATTAATTGATATGGAGCGTGGAGGGCTGCTGTGCTTGAGCACTGACTGTTACCGGCTAATTTGAGCTATTTTAGAAATCACACCTAATACAACAATAAATATATTTAACATTTTATTTTAAAAATAAGCTGCGGCAGCGTAATTTCTCTGACATTCTCACAAGGTTGTGATTGAAATTTAACTCATAATAGTAACAAAAGTAAGTCTGTTTTTGTAAAACCACTGAGCTCAGTTACAGGACAATTTAACAAGAGCAGTAGTAGGACATTAATTTAATTTCTTTCTATAAATATCATTTACTTTAAATCGCTCGCTTTTTTCTCATCATAGAGATAATAACATGGCTCGTTGTTGAGTAACGCCATTTGACAATTCTTTTAAATAACCTATTTTTTGTTTATTCATCAATTAAAACTTATCGACTTATCCCAACCCTAAAGAAGGTAGCGATAAAGACTCGCCTTAGATCCAGATGTTCCCACTTGACACAAATTCTTTGAAGGTAATGTTCAAACATATGCGTAGGTGTTTAAACGTGTTAAGTAATAATTATTTTTACGGGCAAATTTAGGATATGAATTAGGTACTAAATGTATTTTAATCATCAACAGCCTATACTGTTGGACATAGGCCTCTCCTTAAAAAGGAGGTTTTGGCCTACTATACCACGCTGGCCAGACGGGTTGGTACAGGGTTTGTTTCAAGATTTCCTTCTCCTTGCAGTGCTGTTGTCCTGCGTAATTTGCTCCCTTAGTCAGCTCTTACGACACCCATTGGATGAATAGGGGTGGTGACACTCTGTTGTCTTAATCCGTCACCACACGGACAGTCGTGGTTAAGTCAATCAAAAGGCCAGAAATAACTTAAAAGTACGCTGTCCTATGAGATATCGTATTCTGCTATTAAAAGAAAAATACGGTCTTTATGATTTTTTAATTTAATGATTTTTTTTACATTGTTATTATTATTATTATTACTAAACATTTATTAAACATTCTATATCAAACGTAATCCAATTTTATTAGAAACTTCGAAATTTGGTACATATAATAGAGTCTATTTTTGCGTGAACTGAACTTATGTTGTTCACTTTTAGAAATTTATCTTATGGGTAAACCTTTTTGAAAACCTTTAATTAAGTATCATAGTATGAAAAATATTTTTCAAATTAAAGTACATTTTCCAAATTGATGACATTAACAGTACGTAAGAAGTTCTTCGAGGCTACAAGGCTTATCGCAGCATTCTTCGACTGGCCCACGCTTGCCTCGTACGTTACTGAACGCACGAGCACTTTTCTGCGACATCCACCAGCCATCATCACGTTTTACCATCTCAGTGTCCCGACATAAGGCCGCTAGCATATTAGAGAACCGCCTACCACAGTATCTTTGAGCGGTTTGAGCTTCTACTTGTCGACATATCACTACGATCAATATTATCGCTAGAGCCACCTTCATCATAACTATTTAATTTGTTACTGCAACTTTGATATCGTTGACTCTCAAGCACTCAACTAGTAATGTACAAATTTCATGGGACGCTCAGATTTTATATTATTAGAGGCTCATTAATATTCGTATCAAAATATTATTGTTCATTGAGGTAGTTCTAAAATATCTTAGACCTTCCACTCGCTCCCACACAATGTTCAATCATTGGAATAATCTATCTGACATCCTAGGGGCATATACTTTGTAAATCCCAAAATTAACCTGTTGGTCTGCATATTAATGAGTTTAAAAAGGTTTAAAAGCTTTGGTTTTAAATGATATCATCACATTTAAGTCCAGTGCCTCAACACAGTAGTATAACAAAACAGATATCTAACTTCAACAACCAACATGAAGTACTCATCGGTGTTGTTCATGGTTGTGTTGGCTTGTACTAACGTGTTAGCAGATGATGCACAGATATACTGCGGTCGCCGGCTCTCCAATGTTCTGGCGACTCTGTGCTGGGACGTTGAGATGGTGAAGCGGGATGCTGGCGGGTGGATGATGAAACAGAATGTTCGAGCGCTTGGTAGTGTTCGCGGTAAACGTGGCCCTGTCGACGAGTGCTGCTATAAGCCCTGCACAATCGATGAACTGCTCACGTATTGCTAATTTTTACTGGTTTACATTTAATCTCGGTGCTCGTAAATTTAAGCTGATAGAATTCAATAAATAATTAAAATGTATGTTTACTGTTATTATTTTAAGAGTTTATGTATTACTTGTTCTACTTCAATTGGTGTTAGCGCCACCCATAAAATGCTAATAGACTCTGTCAATATTAAAACACATATAATATACACTTACTTACTCAGCTCAGCGTGACCCAAAATGTGTCTATGCCTCCGACATTAAAGTGCGGCATTCTTCTCTATTCTGTGCCAGTTCAGACCAATCTTGCACTTTGATCTCTTTCATATCTTTGGCATGTGTTTCAATATTTCCTATTTACCTTTTATGATATTTGTTCATTTAAGAGTAGATCAGAACTGAATATCGAACGAATTTTTACTACGAGAATTGACGTTCATCGTCTAATCGGGATTCAGTGTCAGGACCAACTCCGACACCGACGCGGCAGTTCACTTCTATTTTATTCTTTAGATTCTTACAATATTCATTCATCTTTTTCTAAATATTACCATGAATTCAATTATTCTTTTTCTAAGGAATTTTCGTTTAAATTTGTCATAATCTGTTGGTAACATCAATGGGACCCTGTTTACTTGTGTCATGAAAAGAAAAGTGTTAAATGGCTCGCCGTTAAAATATCGCCTGCTTGTGAATTATTTGGTTCAAAAGTCCATTTAATTATGATAAGCGATGTAAAAGAAACTTAACTGTAATAACTTCACTAAACGTGTTTGATTGTATGTATCTATTTAGTTTTATGTGATCTAGATACTCAATACATTCTAAAGTTGTAGGGCAGAGATCGTCTTGATTGAATTCTTCTTTTCCCAATCATTGACTACGGTGATGTGTGTTACCTCGACCTGAATGCAGATCTGCTCAATAAATTAGACCGACTTCTCAACAATTGCACTCAGTTCATATTCAACCTGCGAAAGTATGATCACGTATCCGCTTATCGCAGGCAATTATCATGGCTACCTATAAGACAGCGCCGCAATTTGCGGGCGCTGACTATGTTGCACTCCCTTTTCCACACACCTACCTCACCTACTTACTTAACATCCCACCTGCAATATCTCTCCTCCAACCATGACAGAGGCCTTCGCTCCGCTGATAATTTCCTCCTTCTTTGTCCTTCACATAACTCCCGTATCGTACATTCTTCACTGTCCAAGCGGTAAAGCTTTGGAACGCCCTTCCCCTAGAGATCAGGACATCCACCAACCGAACAACCTTTAAGATCAGAGTACGCAAGCTCTATGGAGACTTGTTGACGGAGTCATCAAAATAACCCCTCGCGTGTTCATCAATGCAGGCATATATGTATGGATGTATGTGTGTATGTTTATGTTTTTTATATTTATAGTATTATATAGTACGTATAAATTATATTTACATCTATATATGGATCCCCGTATATCTGTGTAGCATGACATCTTGCAACCGACTACAATTTAATTATTTATCTCATTATACACCTGCCAGACACAAATCCCTGCATCACACCAAGGTTGACTGGAACAAAATGCCTATGGCATTAAGTCCGCCTTATGCAATGTATTTGCAGGGAGTATAAATAAATAAATTAAACCAATTAAATTATAGTCCTATCAAGAATTTTACACCCCGATACAGATTAAATATAACATAGCAGTCAGAATGGGAGATTAACAACATAATTACTTTAAAAATATCTATGCTCATCGTACATCTGCCCTGGGTGAGAATACGAACGACGGCTCAGCAAACAGGATCACTGACCGCTAGACCTGGCAAACAGTATATATTTTTAAATCGATAGTCATTTACAAAAAGGGTTTTGCAAAGAGACTCGATCCGATACGTGTACCGGAATAACACACTCGTAAAGACCCTACCAGGCATCTCGTTTTTCGTGTTATCTATATTTTGTTTCATTAGAAATTGTAACCACACAACTGTGCTAGGAGGGAATTGTCTTTTTAGAATAAAAAATTAATAAAACAAATAGTTCTATCAAATACCATCATCTGTTCTTTTCTTAATTTTCGAAATCAAATATGGAAGATGAATTCTACACCCCGATACAGAGTAAATATAACATAGTAGTCAGTGTATAATTATTTTTAAAATATCTGTGCTCATTGTACATCTGACCTGGGTGAGAGACTCTATCCCTTCAGAAGCTGATGTTAGACGACTGGAGTAAGATGATGCGAGACAGTGTTTCTCTATGCGGTACGCACATTGAAGAGATTTTTGAGTCTTAAATCCTAATAACCTGGTCTGACCTAGTCGTGGTATGTACCAAATACCGATGAGACCGTTTTTTTATCATTTAAAACTAGCTGTACTAGGGTACAGCTAGTTTTTGTGTGGCAGGCTACAGTTTACTGTGCCGCATTGTTGTTGCATTAATGCGGAAAGAAGAATACAACTGACGCGAAATATAGATTAAAGCTATCTTTGAAGCTGGGTTGGGTTGTTTGTCGTGTCATAATTTGAGGTCATTCGGTGCAGAACTTTTTGACTTTTTAAATCGTACACAAACCAACTTGACATTTATATACGTGTGGTGACGGATTAAGAATACAGTCTCACCGCCCCTACTCATCCCGTGGGTGTCGTAAGAGCCGACTAAGGGAGAAAACCACGCAGAACAACAGCACTGAAGAGAGAAAGAAAATACCAACCCGTCTGGCCAGCGTGGTATAGTAGGCCAAAACCTCTTTTCTAAGGAGAGGCCTATATCCAGCAATGGACTATTAAATGCTGTTGATGTGATGATAATGATTTATATGTATATTCAATTTATTAAATTTATAGTTTTATTTATTGAGGTTTAATGAAAAACTTTGACATCAATTTAATTATGAGGATCCTTAGAAGCCATATACGTTAATAACGTGGACGACATTGTCCTTAATAAAGATGAAAGAAATATTACAACACAACACTGTTTGTTTGTTTGTTCATCTCCTTTTATTAGATGGTTGAAAAGATTATACGGATTTATAAGTTATTACATTTTTGTCATATAGTTGTAGTGGCTTTGTATGAATAATATACACTTTCCCTTAGGAGCAGGCATAGACCACACATAAGACATTCTTCTTTCATAAATAGAATGGGCAATAAATATTAATTTCCGCTATGGGTCTATTAATTGTAAGTTAGTATTAAAGGTTATTATCAAGTCGCAATAAAAAAAAAACCATTAACAATATTACGAAATAAATATTACGGTCAAATTATAACTCGACAAACAACCAGCTTCAAATATAGCTTTAATCTATATTTCGCGTCAGTTGTGTTCTTCTTTCCTCATTAATGCAACTATAATGTGACACAGTAAACTGTTACCTGCCACACAAAAGCTAGCTATACCCTGGTACAGCTAATTTTAAATGCTATTAAAACGGTCTCATCGGTATTTGGTACACACCACGACCAGGTCAGACCAAGTTGTTAGGATTTCAGAGTCAAAAACCTCTTCAATGTGCGTACGCATAGAGAAACACTGTCTCGCATCATCTTACTCCAGTCGTCTAACATCAGCTTCTGAAGGGATCGAGTCTCTTTGCAAAACCCATCTTCTAAATGACTATCGATTTAAGAATATTGACCGTTTGGCAGATCTAGCGGTCAGTGATCCTGTTTGCTGAGCCGTCGTTCGAATTCTCACCCAGGGCAGATGTACGATGAGCACAGATATTTTTAAAATAATTATACACTGACTACTATGTTATATTTACTCTGTATCGGGGTGTAGAATTCATCTTCCATATTTGATTTTGAAAATTAAGAAAAGGATAGAAAGTATCTGATATTTTTACTGAACTTGATAGAACTATATGTTATCTATATTTTTTTAATCTAAAAAGACAACTCTCGCATTAGAAATATATCATATGTCGCGGGGGATTTTTACAAACATATATAAAACGAACACAAAGAACACCCAGACTCAGAACAACAATTTGTTAATCACACAAAGTGTCGTCCCAAGTGAGGATCGTACCCACAACACTCAACGTAGTAGTAAGCGGCGTGGCAACCGCTTAAACCACGCCATCCGTGCAGTCAATATTATAATTTAATTGGTATTTAAATTTAATATCAATGTTAATTACAATGGACGATTTTATCGCAAAAGACGATCTGTGCCAGACAAGTTTAGAATGGATTGAGTAACTAGATCACATATAACTAAATAGATACATACAGGCAAACACTTTAAGTAAAGCTATTACAGTTAAGTTTCTTTTACATCGCTTATCATAATTACAATGGCTTTTGAACCAAATAATTCACAAGCAAACGATATTTTAACGGCGATCCATTAATCACTTTTCTTTTCATAACACAAGTAAACAGGGTCCCATTGATGTTACAAACAGATTATGACAAATTTAAGCAAAAATTTCTTAGAAAAAGAATAATTGAATTCATGGTTATATTTAGAAAAGATGAATGAATTTATAATGCAAGAATTAAAAAAATAAAAGTGATGTGAACTGCCGCGTATCAGGCGTTGGTCCTGATACTGAATCCCATTTAGACCTGAAAGTCAATTCTCGTAGTAAGAATTCAATTCAGTTCTGATTTACTCTTAAATTAACAAATATCATAAAAGGTAAATAGGAAATATTGAAACATATGCCAAAGATATGAAAGAGATCAAAGTGCAAGATTGGTTTGAACTGGCACAGAATAGAGAAGAATGCCGCACTTTAATGGCCGAGGCCAAGACACATTTTGGGTCGCTGAGCTGAGTAAGTAAGTGTATTTTATATGTTTTTTAATATTGACACAGTCTATTAGCATTTTATAGGTGGCGCTAATACCAAGTGAAGTAGAACAAGTAATACTTATTGATTTTAATTATTTATTGAATTCTATCAGCTTAAATTTACGAGCACCGAGATTAATGTAAACCAGTAGAAATTAGCAATACGTGAGCAGTTCATCGATTGTGCAGGGCTTATAGCAGCACT